AACCACCCTGCTGATAAAATATGACTTGAGTGGTAAATATATTTAAGGATAGGGCAGTGAATAGGAAGAGTTCTAGATATCCTAGGAACCTCAACCATCCCCAAAAGATGTATTTTCACATTATGTGTATGTTTTTTTCAAATGTTAATTTTCACTTCCAAGAAGGATTGTGGGTCCATTAGAGGAAAAGGAATTTTTTCAAATCTTATGTCACTAGATTCAGTTTAGTGACCAGGCAAATCAATAAAGATTATTTCACTTAATTCTCATTTTTCCTCGTGTATCCTCTACCAGGAGAGAATATGAGGAAGATGCATTTATGTCTTCTGAGAAGACAGAAACACCCTTGAGGGAGCAAGGGTTCAAATGAGGAACATCCTCACAACTCATCCAGACTCCAGTTTGTACGTGCAGAGCTTAACTTGTACTGACTCTACCAGTGTAACAGAACTCATCCCATACCACGACAGATGGTTCCAACAGCTCTTACAGCAGCATCGTGAAAGTCACCACTTCATATTGCACAAGTTTCTCTAGGCTGTCCAGTAATCTCTGCTTCTCACTCTGAGTTTATCCTCAACTTCTGCACACAGCTGTTTACCCTCTTACCATTCAAGGCACGTTGTTTAATTCCAGTTGGCAATAATGGGAGCAGAAGCAGGGACTGGATGGCACTGCAATGATTTTGAATTGTTGCCTAAGAGACCCATCAAGTCCCTTGGGAGCAATTCCTCATAAATGACACCAAACGCAAACATTTGAACAACTGACTCAGTTGCTTTTTAGTCCCTGGTGGAGTTTCAGCAGGGACAGGCTCAGCAGAACAACTTCAGGGCCCAGGCTGCCCAAGATAACACCTTAGGTATCACACTGCTCTTTAATTACAAAGGTGGAAATTTGTGTTGCGATTGTCAGTTGCTGTTGAACCTGAGATGTAGAAATCCTCTAAAATGGGGCTCAAGTTCCTGCTCGAAGTATTCTGAGAACCAGGCAAGAAATGCCATAAATAAGAGGCTTCTGCCACTTTTGAGTTCTTTGCTGTGCTGTTGTCCACATTCCAAGGAGAGGGGAATGTGCTACCAGTCCCTCCCTGGGGAAGAGGTAGGCATTATGGTTTTAAACAACTTTTCCTTGGCAGAGAGTCAAACCAAGGTAATTATACTGCCACAACAACCCTATAACCACCCTTTATGGAAGAAGTGGAGGATCACCTCTTCCAGCTCCATTTTAGAAAGAAAACAGACACAAATGTCCTCTGAAAAGCACTTTCCTGCCTGGCTGCCAAGTGGGACCAGGCCTTTTGGGGTATGACAGGCAGGAAAACCAAACACACCCCACCCTTAGGTGGGTGATAAGATAAAAGTTGCTCAGACAGAGGCAGCTCTGTACATGTAGAGACGCCCAGCTCAGCGTTTTTAGAGCTTTAGAGTAACAGCAGAACACACCTACTGTGGGCAACACCTGAAGAAAAGTTTAGGTGGTGAGATGGAATATCTGACCTGGATTGTCAATGTAGATAATGGTTTTATTTCTGGTTGAATGTCCCTTTATGGATGTACATTATATATATAATGTATGTATATATTACACATATATTATATGTATATTTTACACCTATATGCATATATATATGTATATATATAATATATATT